TGCCCCTTTGGCATTCTAGTTTGAGATAATAATAGGTAATAAAGACAAAGAACCAACTTTGTGCTTCTTAGAAACACCCAAAATAGTGCTATCCTTACCAACCCTCAGATGTGTTGCCCTACAAGCAGCATTTGGAATGTCAAATTGCAAAGGTATTGTTTACAAACTAAGATATTTTAGCCACTCTCAGAAATACAGGTTTCCACTGTCCTTTGCAAAATGACATTAAAATGGCATTACACACACTATTTATATGAATAGAAAGTGTGCTTGAACTTCGTTTATAAAGTCTACTTAACCAAAATCCATATTTTATTCTTTCCCTATTTGAGAGTTCTTTCATAGGCCTGGGCATTCTCCCTTTTGATCCATTGATTCACACATTTTAATATTACATTAATTATATCTACAGATAGAAATTCTTATACTCTGAGAATATAATTTCCTTCTTGGATAATGTGAAAAATTAAATTTACAGTGTTTTCATTGAATTGCCTTTTAATGATACAAAGAAGCTGATTTCTACATTTGTATAACAAACATCTGCATAATATTAGTCATGACCTAGGATTAAAGTTTCTAAATCACCAATAAAGGGGGCTGCTAGTGGGAAAAGCTATAGAATTATATAGCTAAATTTAGAATTTTGAAGACCTCATGTATGTTTTATTGTGGTTGAAAATCAATACGAAATACAAGTTGTGACTTTATACATGTGGTGTTCAAAGACATAAATATTTTAAATTAAACATCCTTACTTGAAAGGATTTAGCAAATTAATTGAGTACTGTTGAAGAGGTGTGCATATTTAACTTTTCAAACTATAAATAATATGCAATTGCAAAATAATTTCATTGATATTTTGGTTTATATTAAAAATTGACTTTAAAGGATTCAATTATGAACAAACAAAAATTCATAAAATCTGAATTTAACATTTCTCTGATGGATGATGGTATTTGCTTTGTTGTGTTCTTTTTGAGCATTTATATTTCACCATTTAATTTAGACTATGAGCAAATATTTTAAAGTAAGGATGCTTTTTTAAAATCCTGAATCAGAAAGAATGTTCTTAAAATGTTCTACTTTGTACAAATCTTAGTATAAATTTTCTTAAAGATAGGTCAAATTGAGGTTTTCACCTTCAAACCGCCTTATGGAAAAAGTCATGTTACACAAAATGCTTAATTTTTTTCCATTTTTTTCTTGAAATAGCAATATGAGATCTTAAACAATAAATGTTTGCAGATTATATCTATATATAATTTACTAGTTCAACTGGTTGATGATGTTTTAAAACTGATATTTTAAATATAATTTTCTTATCTGAAGACATCTGGTAATTTTAAAATTGTACTTTTTTTTTAACCTTTCCATTACATATGTTATTGATTTTATTTCTATATGCAAAAAGAAGCTGTTCCTAAAATTCTAAATAATATTGGTCCAATTTTATTTAAAATCCAGCAGTGTTTTTACCAATTTTAATGTCAATATCATTGAGAACCGTATCATTAAGATCCAGTGCTCCTTAAAACAATATTTAGAAAGCTGGAAACTTCCTTACTGAGTAGTGTGATAGTGCTGTTCTGCATTTTTTCTAAATGGGTTCACATAGACAGAAAAATAGACTTCCAAACAGTTTAAAAATACATCTCAGTAAAACGTTACTTTTCTGATAAAGATAAATTCAGTACAACTTAACATATTCATTGCTTTAAAGAAAAGGAAAGAAAGACATCAAGGAGGTTTCATTTCATAGAAAAAGGCATGTGGGCATCACACATTTCTGTCTGAGGACAGTGCTGAATTTTGATTAGAACAAGAAGCTATAATTGGAGTGATAATCTTTTACACTGTTTTTAATTGTAATCAGTGCAGATGTTTGTAGCTTTAGGATTAAAAATTGGTGCTTTATGATATGTGTAGTTGATGATTTTTTTAGGCCACCGGCTGCTCAACTTGGCTCATTTTAAAACATAAATTTGATATTCAGAATTACTGAAAAGTGAAAAATCCACAAGAATTAAAAAACAAATATCTACCATTTTTGATGGACTAAAATGTGTGTGTTTTAATTTTACTAATTATGTAGATAATTTTTTGTATCCTTTCTTCATGAAGTGAAATAAAAAAGTTTCATCTATAAGATTAAAGAAAAGGAAAATTTGAATTATCATTGAAAATAGCTTTGATAAAGAAAATATTAAAGTCTTCATAATTTAAGATAATTTGACTTATTCTTTAGGTGATAGAATGAAATTCAGATGAAAACAATTCTATGTAAGCATTACATTTTGCATTTCTTTCATTGTGTCTATTTTTATCTCAAGATAAGGTCCCTGGAGATATTCCTGTCTCTTTCTCTCTCAAATATATATATATTTTATCTCAAGATAAGGTCTCTGGAGATATTCTTGTCTCTTTCTCTCTCAAATATATATGTGTGTATATATATATATATATATATATATATATATACACACACACACACACTTATGGATACAGATATCTGAATTTTTCACTTTTTATTCAGAATGTTTTTAATGGAATCAATAGAATTAATTAACTTTAGCATTTTGATTATATACCCGGGGGAGGGTCTTTCTGTATTTTCTGGAGGAATGATTTTCAGTCTCATAAACACAAATCAAGGGAGTCCTTTCCTCCCTTCTATGTGTAGGAGTATATTTGGTGTACCGAAATCTCATAATGAATGTCCTTGCTCAGGTGCTCTTTACTCAATGCTGCACTTAAAGGCAGGTATTCTGGATGTTGGATCCCTTTTTTTCACTTTTTCTGGGCTGTATTTCTCTTATAAGATACACAGCTAGGCTAAAGCAGTATTCCATTCTGTCTGCCTCTTAAATGAAGCACAGAGTGGTAAACCAGGCCCCACGTAGACACATCTGCTGTATTTGAAACAATACATGTGTTCAAGACTCAAGAAGGCATTTTGAATCACAGTTAAGTTTAGAAATTAGCTGATTAATTTTCCACAAGAATTCTTGGGGGAGTTTCCTTTTTTTCTTTGTATCAAAAAACACATCAATTTAAACAGCAAACATCTGATTATAAGTAGTAGAAACATGAGCGTATATGTATAATAGCTAAGACTAAGGTGGTTAATGCCTAGAAACGTATGATAAAGAAAAGTAGGAAGTATTTTACTTCCTACAGTTTTAGACCCCAAATTCCTAACATAAGGAAACATTCTGTCTTCATTACAATAGCAATTTAGAAATTGATTCATTGCTGGAGTTTTTACAAATTTTACAAAAGAAGTGAAAATTATTATATGACTAATGATCATTTAAATAATAATAGCTGTTACTCAATGCCATCTGTCATAATTTACATTTTTTATTGCTCATTTTTAGAATAATCTCACCAAATAGTAACTATTTATATTGTACACACAAGGAAACTGAGACTAAAAGAATTTGGACAACTTGCCCATGGTCACCAGCTATGAAATGGCATAACAAATTCAAATCTCTGTCTGCTTCACCCTATTCCACACCATTCCTCCATACGATGCTCATCACTAATATGAGTCAGAAACTGTCCCAGGGTCTTATACATATCACTTGATTATAAAGCCTATGTCTTTTTCTATATGCTTCTTAAACTGAACTAAATTTGGATGTGTAGGTAACAGTATATTTATAGTATTAACTTCTTAGCAAAAACAGAAATAGAACTTTTATCAGGTATGTTAATAATCAAAACATTCAATTTTGGTAGAAATCAAGGGTAGTGATGATAACAAACTAGATTTAACACAATATTAAAACAAACTCTAATGGATGAATGTGGTAATTATTCTCCGACATATTTTGTATAATTGTTCCATTTTATGGATTGTGGAGTGATGCCATTTTTTTCCTTGTTCATATCTGCTGCCACTTATCTCATTTGTCTAGAGAATTTTGTATCTGAGTCATTCTTCTTATTACTTTAAACATAAATCACATAGACATAGCATGCCTTGTTTATCTCTGCCTTGCCTGACCAGACTTTCTTCAAAGTCGGTACAACATTCGCACTCACCTCCTGGAAGTGTGTGGTAGTTTACCTCACTTGATTGAATTCCTCTGTCTTGGCACTGCTCAGCACTAGTTTCTAGTATATCAGTTTATGCAATAAACTTGTTATTTTATTTCACATATGTGCTTGATATCTTAAGTAATATGCAAAGTCTTTAAAGTGGAAGCAATCTTTATTTCTTTACATTTTCCATGATATCATTCTAAGGTACCTAGCAGAATGCTCCAAAGAGGAGTTACCCTGTTCAACAGTTAGGACTAAGCAAGGTGATGGCAGCTCATCAAGTCCAGTTCCAGTGTTAGAATAAAAAGAAACATGCCATTCTATCATATAAGTCAGTAAACTATTGTTAAACAAGATGAGGTCAAGACTAATTCTCACAGAATATTATTTGTTTAATGTTTCCTGGGTTGGTCCAGAGTCTGGTAACTTTTCCCTTGGACCCTTTCTCAGGGTACAGTATTATATTCATTTGGAAGTTGTTAACCAGAGCTGACCTTAACCCGAGTTTGTAGGTGAGCACAACGTTAGGACCAGAATGAAGAGTTTTGCTGAAGTTATTATACAGTATAAGTATTCCTATTCCTCCATCTTCCAATGTCTTTAATAGAGAGTCTAAGAGGAAATATTCTTAATTCTACCATGCTTTTATCAACTGAATATTTTCAATTTTAAGCGTTTTTTTGAGACAGTGTACTTGAGAAACAGTTGCATATATAACTATACATTACATGGGTCAAAAAACAGGCATAGCTTATCTAGTCTGCAGCAATAAACTGGCAGCTTCTAGACCAGAACCCATTCTCACATATGCTTTGTTTGGCCTGCCCAGTTCTCAAAATCAGATTTATTTTTTTAGTTTAAAAAAAGAGGCATTTCACATTCTTAAAACATCTTGCTTCTCAAGCAAAACTAGAAGGTTTTCTAACAGTGAGTCTTCTTTCTTGCAGGATAAAATCACCTGGGACTGAGCATTTGCCATTCTCTTTAGACGGGGCATAGTTTCTCCAATTTGCTCCAGTCCTCAGTACTTCTTAGAGAGATTTCCTCCAAACCTACTTCAAGCATTCATTATCTGCCTCCATCTGTAGGCATGTAAGTGATTCCTGATTTAGTCTAAGCCCTGCATTTTCAACTATTAAAAGGAAAGCTGAGTCATTTATAGTGATGTATCCAAGCCCTGGGTGTTATCCACTGAATGATTAAATGCTTCAAAATGAGTTACTTTTAGACATTTCAAAAGGATTTTTAAGATACTGAAAGCATTCTGTTATGAACGTGCATATCCATATGTATATAATTACTCAGATCAACTATAGTTTATTATACAAAATATCTTCCATACCACACTTTTCTAAAGGTTGGATAATAAAATGGGTAATATGTGTTTTCACTAGACACAAGGTGTTCTGTGTATATAAGAGAAGAAAATGGAATTTCAATGCAGACAGTTCTGCCTAGCTGAGGGAATTGGTTTCTCAAGCATCTGGGTGGATTCCTTTCTTCCTTATTGTCTGTCAGATGCTTCTGGAGTATCTGATGGTGAGGAAGGATCAGTGCCTGAGAGATATAAAGATGAGACATCTTGACATTGGCTTAGCACTAGAAACTTGTACTACAGATAGCTCAAAGAAGAATGAAAAGAACTAAGGATCTAACCACTCCCAATAACTGTCTTGTAGTCTGGATCCTTGGAATTTGCTTGGCCTTCTTTGTTCTGACTCTATCAGGGAGAGATTCTTCACTAAATTGATCCTTTTCTTGAGAGTGAGCTAACCTAATTGGCCCTGAAATTCCTTTAAAGGAAAAAATTTGCATTAAAATTTCTGGTAATTTTGTATCATTTTTACATGAAAATGAATATCCCCCTCTACTCTACCCGACATGCACACACAGGGGCACTCTATGAGATTTACTCCAGGCAAACTGAGACAACATAGGAAGCCAGTTTTAGCATGGTAACAATAGCTCATAAGCCCACCTGCCACCATACACAGGAGCTTTTATCAAGACATAATAGAATGTTAGAGAACTAATTACAGTATCATTTTTCAAACATGACACTCTCTAGAAGTTCAGGTTAATTTATTCCCTCAATAAGTATTTTTCAAATGCAAACTTGATAAATGGCACTGATATATGTGCTGAAGGTGAGAGAACAAAAAAATGCAAGATCAAAACCCTGCCCACCAGTCACTTACTGTCCAGTTAGAGAAACTTCTTAATGCAAAATTGTAGATGAGTAACAGAAGGGGTGTAGTTGAATGAATGTTATAGATGTTATGGATCCAAGACAGAAGAGCTAATGAATGCGTTATTCATTTAAATGTGAGACTTGAGTACAATCTTGGAGAATGGGGAAGGCGAAGTATGAAAAATGCTTGAGGTTAGATATGTGCTTTATTCGGTTGATAGTGAGGATTCTCAGCTGTCTGGAGAGGAAGTTTCATACTGGCAAGAAGTAAATTAAGTAGGCAGGAGACATCTTCATGACTAAAATCTCATGCAGGGTCAAACTTCCTGGGTTTGAATTCTAGATCTATCACTTACTAGCTGATGATTGTACCTCTGAAGTCTCAAAGCATCTCACAGAGCCATTTGGGAGATTTTGTGAGTCCATTTATGTAAGGCAGTTAGTACGCTTCCTGGCACATTAGCATCACTCTGTAAACTATCAGTAGAGGTGGCAAAGAACCCAATATGAAATGGATTTGAATGCCAAAATATCAGAATTTGACCTTAAGTAAAGTGAAATATATCAGTTTTTTAAACTTGTTTTTTAGTGGATTTGAGACATGATATTGATGATGTTTCAATAAGATTGATCTGGTGGTATTTGTTGTAGAGGATGAGTTGGAGAAAGGAGGCAGGAGGGAGGGAAGGCAGCTGGGAGATTACTGGCATAGTTGGGGTGTGAAGCACTGAGAGTCTGCACAGAGAAATTTTAAATGGAAAAAAAAATCACTGGGAAGTTGTTTTTAATAAGCTACAGGATACTGGATCTTAATCATTTGGGGTCATAGGCTTCATAGTCTGACAAAAACTATGGATCCTTTTCTCACAAATGTACATATACTGCTGCACACACACACACAAATCTGCATGCAATTTCAATGGGTCAGGAAGCTCACCCTTGGAACCCAGATGTAGGGAATAAAAAAAAGAAGCAGAAAATGAATGTACTATCATGAAGAAGTACAATAATAATATAATAAACCAAAAACAGTAGTATGATAAAGTGAATGTAATAGATTACATTGCATATTAATACTGCTACTTTGTATTTATGTTTGCGAACTGATTTGTAATTTTAGTTAGCCCCACAGGGATGGACCTACTTTTATATCTCAACTTGTAATAACTATTTTCTTTCATCCTTGATTTTTTCCTAAAAAATACTACTTCATTGAACTGATCTGTCAAATGCTACTTCCATACTCGGTTGGTAAGTACAGGATATCATATTCTGCTTCACACTGCCAGGTTGTGCTCTTCTCCCATTTTGAAAACTGATGCCCGTGTCTTTTTTATTTAAGTTTCAAAATTATGTAAAAAACATTGCTCAAAATTGTTTTTTAAGTGTGAAAACTAAAAAGAAATCTGCGTTGGAATTTTCCTTTCTCCACTTATAACACAAATTAAATCTGGAGACTGAAGAGGGAAGTCTATTGCATCAGTCTTATCTTCACTTACCATTGATTACCCTTCTGCCCACTTATTCCTATGTTTCCATGTCAAAATTAAGCTCACTAAATAATAGCCAATACACCCCAAGTTGCAGTTCCTGACAATATTTTCATAAAAGAAGACAAAAAAGTATAAGTAGAGAGTACATCTTTTGCTGTGGATCAGCTAATTCTCAATAGGCACTCCAAATGCCTATCTTTAGGTTCCTTATTTTTCTTTTATGTTTGGAGCAAGTTTATTCATACTTAATTTTATGTTAAATACCAAAAACAACTTGCATCTCTATTAAAACTATTCATATATCACACAGGATATAAGTTTTTACTAATAATGTATTCATTTCTTTCTTTCAGATTAATCTGTTAGGAAATCTCAACATTTTATGAATATTTACCAAGCTTTCACCATCAATCCTGAGGATCAACAGTCTAATCCTGCCACTTAAGCCACATCTAACATAGTACTGGATCTGCTGTTTTGGAAACTAATTGATAAAATTCTATTAAACAGACTAAATTGAGGTGAAAATAGACCTAAAGACCATGGATGCATCAGTTAGATCAAAATTTTTATCTTTTCATGCATGTTAACCACATGAATATACTTTTAAAGTTACAGCAATTATCATACACATCTATTTCTACAAATTATGCATAAAACACTGGTATTAGAGAGAATGCAGTATTTGAGAGCTTTAGGAAATCCTATTCTTATCACTAGAAAAATGTGGATGTACCATTACTCAGAGAAATTTTTATATGATGCTAAATATATTACAATAAAATTAGCTTCTATGATTCACATTTACTAACAGCTCTGAAAGTTTCCTCACCTTGTATATAGATTCTGATTGGAATATTTTTTGAAAATGTTTTTCTTATGTATTTAATTTTTTCAATAATGGTTGATATTTTTGTGCTGAAATGGGCTTAAATATAACTTTAGAAACAATTTAAAATAAGACAGTTTACATTAGAAATAATAATTGTGTTTAAGTTAAACCAAGACTAATTTTTAAAAAAAAAAAGACCAGCTTTACTGACTTTAGGAGAAACAAAAGCCTTGAGCACAGTCAGTTTGGCATAATGGAGCATTGCTGAACTGGAAGCCTGAGAATTATGCTGTCTGTTGATTACATTCTCTGTCACTCAGAATGTAATGAGACCATTTTCTGTTCTGTAAAATGGGAATTAAAATGCTTTTTGTATCTCTTTTTCAGGGTAGTTGTAAGGATCAAATATAAAAAAGAGTGAAAACACATTAATCTTAAGTGACACAAAGTTATTTAAAGAATGGGTTAGTGTTATCTCAATTATTGACTTTTTTTCACTACAATGGTCATTTTCCCTTTTTGGTTTTCATTGATGGTGTCTGTCCTTACTTCCTCTGAATTAAGTTTTGGAACTTTTTTTTTTTTTCACCATTGGGTAAAATTAGAAAGAATCCTACATCAAGCAGCAAGATGACTTAGCTGTTACATTGTAAAATTCCAAAAAAACTATTAGGGATGTGGGCCCATTTAGGAACTTCTGTTTTATAAGGCATGTTGGTGTAGAAGTGTATGAGTAGAACTCCACAAAATATACTTAACATTTACCCCTGAGTAAGCTGGCAAATCTGAGTGAAAGGAAGCCCAAGTCTCCACTCTTGCTTCCAGTTCTCCTGCTTACAAAGCGAACTGTGTCTGGCAATTCCCGCAAAGCCAAAGGGGGAAGCACTTTTTTTGTAAGCTACCCTTAACTGGCAGCATTTAATGCACTACACTAATATCCTAACAACATCTTTACAGCAGCTTCAGTCAAGTCCTGCGCATCCCTTAACTTCCAGGCCTGGGAAGAGAACTTGGCTTGAAGCCACCAGGAGGTGGGGAGTTGGGGAGCTGGGGAGTTGGGAGCTGGGAAGAAGGATGGCCCCGGGCTCCATCCAGTATTAGAAACAGGGGCAGGAGGCTGGCGGGTGAAGGGGGAGGACACCACTTGGTATCCTTTCTAAGTGATTCCTGGGTTACTCTGACTTTGTTTTAATCATCACGTGAACTAATTACAATGCTAATTAACCCTAGTTTACGGGGACTGCTGTGCATTTGTACAGGAGGCTTCTTTGTTTGATCTGCTACATCATAAGCTTACCAGCACGGAGGGATAGCATGTATCGTTGAACGTAGAAGAACACACCTTCATCTGTATTAATGAAGAAAACTATTGAAAACCAGCAGACTAATTAAGGGTAATGATGAACAATTTTGATCAGCAATTATGTTTTAATATTGAAGTTCGCTCTTGGAAAGAGTAGAATGGGGATGATCATCTTCCAGCTTCTACCCAGAAAGGTAGCCAGAGAGATCCTGCTTCATTTCCATTTCTTCTCCCACAAACTGTTTTAACATATAATTGAATCGATGCCTCTATTTCAAAAGAAAAAAAAGTAATTATAGAGCTTGTTGGGATCCTTTCTGAAGAGAGGACATTATGTGTGCATGAATTCCATCGGTGATCTGAGGAGGAGCAGCACGCTGCTTGGACCATTACCCATCATTGCCGAACAGCAGAGTAATTAATTGGGCAAATACATCTAGATCTGGTGAATTCACATGCACAGTAACTAGGCAGCAGCAACACACACTCTTTTACTGTGAATAAAATAGCGATAGTTTTCTGTGTCTTTGTGCCTTTTTGTAAAACGTCTTTTTTTTTTCTTTTGGCTGTATCCATTCCAGATTATTTTGTCCATCTTTATGTACTCATTTGAAAAGAGCTTATTACAAAGGAAAAAGATCTGTAGATGAGCAAGTTTGAATTCCATGTCTCTGTTTATTTCCAAAGGAATGAATTCAGTTCATTATGATTTCACTTACTTTTAGAATAATTTAATATTTTCACTAAAACGGGTTAAATGAACATGAAGAAATAGTCGGAAATAAAACTAGTTCCAGGAAGGGACGTGCATCCAAAATAATTATTAATGCCTTTTAATTACTATGCAATATTAATGCAAAAATTTAATTGTTTATTTAAACGTTACCAACAGAGGTAGAAAATAAGGCACAGCATTTGTCCTGGAGAAAGTGATGAAGAATATTTCATCACCAGCCTCTTATAATAGTTCTCTGTAAAGTATAGAATATCAAAAAATCTAACACTGTTTATTTGAACATCAAAAATGCAGACAGGTATTTAGAGGAAAAAAAATCTGATTGTTTTAATGCAAATCATCTCTGACAGCTAAGTCCAAATGTAATAAGAAAGCTTAGTTTTTGATTTAAAAGAAGGTCAATTTTCCAGCATCTCTACTTCTGAAGAGGTTAAATGACAGTTTTCTTTTTTCCTGATCATATTTTAATCCAGATAACAGAGGACTTGCACTCCTAATTCAGACTTTCTGGTAAAGCTCAGCTTGTCACAATGTATAGCTTTCTTTCCTTTGATAAGGTCAGTTTGCCAAAAAGAACAAAGTGCATATGAGTAATACATTACTCAACCACTTGTATACATACATCTATTTTTCTTACCAGGTCTCACTATTCAAAAAGGTACAGACATGGCACCATGATAAAAAGGGTCATTTAAAAGACTTCGCAGAGGCTCTGTACTGTGAAGGATTGAATTTTCACTTGAATGCCTACATTTTCACATCTTTTTCTTTGCAGAAATATTCCTTTTGAATGGCAGACTGCAATTGGGTAAGTTTTTTTTTTAAGTCACTGACCAGGAATATATAAAATATTAGAAGGCATTTGTCCCAGTGGTAGAACACAGTTCACTACCAGGTACCAGGTGGTTATTAAGAAAGTTATACAACTTTGTCTCTTAGGATTGAAGAGCTCCTTCGGATAAAAGCCTTAAGTTCAGTCAAGGTGGAAGGAACACTAAGGGCTGCCACTTCTAAATGACAGACAATTTGAATAACTTGTGAAATCATTAGCCCCAAAGCCATCTACCTAGTAATTTTTCATAATCACATCCAATGTGTATTCCTAGGAACACACAAGCAGACTCCAGTTTATCTTTCTACCTACTCCAATATTTGATCACAACATTTTGAGAAATATGCTCATGACTAATTTTTAAAAACTCGAATTTTTCTTTAGTGGTTATATATTTTCCAAATATACTTAAAGGGGTGCAGAAGAGAAAGAAGTCTATTAAATGCACTAAAAATCTTAAATCTTGATTATTGGATTCCCTAAGGAGTTAGTGTAAATTCAGATGAATGCAACAAATATTTCTTCATCTCCTGCTATCGGTATGGTATTGTGCTAGGATTACCGGGAGATGCAAAACTGAATGAAGCATCTTCTCTACTCTTAGGAATTCTAGAATCCATAAAAAAAAAGTAAAGTGCACAACCATAATAAAAGCTAGAATATGATTTTTTTTTTTTTTTTTTTTTTTTGAGACGGAGTTTCGCTCTTCTTACCCAGGCTGGAGTGCAATGGCGCGATCTCGGCTCACTGCAACATCCGCCTCCTGGGTTCAGGCAATTCTCCTGCTTCAGCCTCCTGAGTAGCTGGGATTACAGGCACGCGCCACCATCCTAGCTAATTTTTTGTATTTTTAGTAGAGACGGGGTTTCAGCATGTTGACCAGGATGGTCTCGATCTTTTGACCTCGTGATCCACCCTCCTCCGCCTCCCAAAGTGCTGGGATTACAGGCTTGAGCCACGGCACCCGGCCTAGAATATGATTAATAAGAACAGAAAGTCACAAAATTCTTTCAGAACATATCAATGAGATTTTTTCTGGCTGAATCAAGGAAGACATCATAGAGGAGAGTGCACTTAAACATATTCAATTGGACTGCAGTGGGGAAGGACAGGAATAGTATGATAGAATTGCTACATTCTGGAAAGGAAAATGGCAAGAGAAAAAGCATCAAGTTGGAAAAAATGCAGGCACTTTGGTGTGACACGGAGTGCAATATAAGCTGGACTAAGTGTAATATAAGTTGTTTGAGGAGGACTGATGAAAATCAAACGTGAGCAACTATGTGGACACTTGATGACATTATAAGGAGTTTGGTTGTGATTCTACAGGCAATTGTGAGCTTTAGAGCAAGAGAGAGTCTAACAAAGCTTTGATTCGTGTAGCCTGTAAAATATTGTTTCCTTCTTCTCACGTACAATTTATCTGTTTTTCTTTTTATTGCTAATAATTTTTCTTGAGATTTAATTCTATTCTTTTCCCTCTCCTGTTGAAACTAAACCAGAGTACTAGAGATGTCACAGACAATATATACCCCACACAAGTATTCATGTCCAAACTAAATTGTTAAGAAACTTCACAGTAACAATAATGATTGTATGACTCTAAGTCTAGTGGAAATTGCATATTGTTATTTTATAAAAATACTTAGAATTACTTCTGAGTTATGTGGAATCAGAAACAATTTTACATTTCTTTGAAAGTGGAACAAGGATATCTTGTTCATATTGTATAACAAAACCAGAGATTTCTTGGGCTTTTAAGAAATAAACTTGCAAGGCTATCTAAAGTATGGACAATTTTATTTCTAAATGTTGACATGTGGAAAAGTTATAAGAAGTAAATTACATTGAAGAGTCTGTGTACAGTGACATATACCTCAAATAAAATGTTCAGATTTCCACCCACTGCATCCAATTCTCTGTAATGTACTTATCGTAACAGAAAAGGTACCCATATTTTACAAATTTGAGCTTTGATTAGTGAAGACAGAGATAAATTAACCCTTTAAAGTTTTATATACAATTAAAATAATTTTCTCTTAGCTATAGAAAATAAGGGAAATTCTGTGATTTATTTTTTAAATTGAAAGGTTAATGGAATAGGGGAGCAGAAATGGCAGCAAGAGTGAATTTCAGCTCAGTGATTTTTTTAAAGTAAAATAGGTTATTCTGTATAAGATTAATAGAATTTGAAAGTGGGCTCCAGCTATTCTGATGGCCTAACAGATCAATTGTTTATAGTGTACAGTACATAGGTGAATGACAGATCAGACACATTCTGTTCATTTTGATGTCACATGTTTTTAATCCAATAAATTGCCACATATTTAGCCCTATGACAGATGAAGCAAACAATTTGACGCTGAAATAATTGAATCAGCGGCCCCACATTCATGCTCAATATTTGGAGTGGGAAGACAAGTGGGAGAAGTGGAAAGACAAAGCTCATGAGGCAATTGGATGGAAAAGGAAATGCTGCTCTTTTGTTTAAGAATAGAAATGGTTTCACATATAAGCTTAAAAGTATGACATTAGTTTGCAATTTCAAAACTAAGAAACCATTATTTTTTAACCAGAGAATAATGGCATCAATTGAGACGTTATGTCTTGGCTTGAGATTGTTGACTTCAACATGCAAAATTTTATTTACCCTTATACTGAAAATAGCTACAACTAAAAATGCTATTTAGAAAGAAAAAATAATTCTGATCCCTGTGAAGGCACTATAATGACAGATACTGTGACCAACAAAAAGGCAGGATGACGCATATTTTTCAATCACATGATAGATATTAGCCAGACTTAATGTAACATTCCTAAATCTGGGCACCTACGTTCAGTTATAAACTTATTTTGCTTTCAAAGAAATGTAGTTCAACTAGGAATTTCTATATCTATTTAAGTCTCCAGAACACACATCTGATGGGGATGGAAATGTCATTCTTCTTAGAAGCCCCATGAATTTTTCTAATTCTTGACACCTCTAAGCCTCTGGAATCTTTTGCTCTCTTATCCAGAGAACTGTATTATCCATATTACATTCTCCTGCTAGATACATTATCAACACATCTCATTCTTGCCATGACCAATCTTCTGAGTTGCTTCCTCCAGATTGTTTTTGCAAGATTCCCACTTCCCACCCCTTTCTGGTTCTCACTCTTTCTTTTTCCCTTTCCTTCTGCCTCTATGAGTGGATTGTTCTTTGCCCACTATTTTAATTCTGCTAGGGAAAACCACAGGAATCATTATTTTCTGGTAAGTGGCAAGAAAGGAAGTGAGAGGAGGTGGGTATAGCTAAGTAGGAAAAGCTGCTCTAAACTTATTAGAAGGAAGGGCAAAGTTGGAATTGCAGTCTGTTAATACATTTATCTCTGTCATAATGGCTTCTACTATGCCTTCCCCACTGCCTCTTAGTCAATCACAGCATCACCAATAGCAGGAAGTTCACATAGAATAATTCAGAAGCCTTCTGCCCTCTGATTACATTTTATTAGGTATGGGTTTACCCGGTAAAATTTATATGTAATCTCCAAGTTCCTGCCTTCTAAACTAGTTCCAAAACATATGGTCTGGCCTATGTGAATGGGATAAATAAACCAACAATTATTTATTGAGTAGCTGTTATGAATAATATCCTCTTCTTGAAAGTGAAATATAAGTCAGAATCCTAGATCTGTTGCGTAGGGGCCAGAGGCAAGGATCTGTAGTCAGTTGACCTGAGTTTGAGATCCAGTTAGCGCTTACTGGCTCTTACTTGGAGAAAAACATTTAATCTCACTAAACCCTATGTTCCTCTTTTGTAAAATAAAAACAACAAAACTGTCTATAATGTGAGATTCTTGAGAGATTTAAAGATAATCTATTCAAAACAATTTTTAAATAAATAGCAGACTATTAAACAAACACAAAGAAATGTAGCAGGGATCTTCTGGTTCAGAAGGCCTGAATTTGGGTATGA